CGCTTTGTGCACACACTACATTCACATGTGGTTACTACTAAGACCGAGGTGCTCTCAGAACAATAAACAAACATCCAGGGCTGCAGAATAGTTGCACGCTTTGTGCACCAGAGGAGTGGGTTGGGAACCAAAGATTTTTATTCTTTCTCACACACACTACATTCACATGTGGTTACTACTAAGACCGAGGTGCTCTCAGAACAATAAACAAACATCCAGGGTTGCAGAATAGTTGCACACTTTGTGCACCAGAGGAGTGGGTTGTGAACCGAAGATTTTTGCTGTAGAACCAACAGAAATATTCTCGTGTCTTCTATCCTATAGCTTAACTTTCAGTAAATTGCCAGTATGACATTTGTGAAATATGTAGATAAATTTTGATTTATCAACTATTATCATAAACACAACCTCTTCGTTGAAAGATTTCATTCATGGAGACGGGTGTTTTGTATTTTATTCTCCGCTGTAGAGAAATCATGAGGTACTTCGCATTACATCAACCAAAGACTTGATTAAAATATGTTCTGTTTTATTTACATATGCATAAATCCCTAGTCCTCCAAATCTATAGAAGGTTTGGAGTCTGTGCTCTGAAGATTTTAGACATTCTGCTACCCTGCCAACATCCACAGTACTAATACGTTTAAATTACTTATCAAATTATCGATGCAATCTCTTATTAACTAGTCTTTATTTTCTATTACTCCCTACTACAATACTACTAATCTAAATTGTCATATGATATTAAACTTTATGACTATGGTAACCTTAGGTACGTTAAACAATTTATTTGACAATTCGACTGTGTAAATTATACCATACAATATCAATGTATCTTGTAAAATGACTTAAACTTTTTCAAAACTGATACATTTCTACTGTAAAAACTTATGGACCTGATCAAATGCATTTAGTGAAATACTTTAAGATATTTTTAAAGATGCAAATAAATTGTTAATTTCTGACTCAATATTTTTTTTTGCAATAAAATCTGCAAAGGTTGTTGAAGTTTGTTTCCCTAAAGGCTTCACAAGTACAACTGTCCATTATCAGTAAATCTTGACTTAATATTGAGAAAATCTTGTTTTTGGAGTCATACAATGCAAATCAAAAATTTAGTGTTTATATTTAGTGAATTTATCATCTCTGATCCTAAGTTTATTTTCACCAGTTTTTTTGTTTTTTTAATTTTCACTAATACCAATCATCTTTCGAACAAGTACAAAGTAAAATGAATTCTTGTGTATCAAACACTATTTTCAAAAGTATTGCTATCCAAATGAATTTAAACATTACTTCAATTACTTAAAAAACAGTCAAAAAATAGTAATTACTAGTGTTTAAAAGTTAAAAACTGTTAAATGATACTTACGCATGCCCTCTAAATGTATATATTGGTTCCACATCGAGAGATGCTGCCCTGAAAATATGAGTATAGTGAGAAATATATCTATATATATTTACATGTACTAACATACATACTCTCATTATTATGAGCTTATTCTTTGACACTACTGCTATAACACATCAAAAATACAAAAAAGGTGTGACTGATCAGAGATTCGGTATACTGTAGTCCCTCTTAGACACGATCAACAACAGTTTCTGACCACCCCTGGTTACCTTCAAGGACCCGAAAGTTTTTAAACGAAATTACCTACGTGTATGTACCAAGGAGTTTGACTTGAACACTCGGGATATCAAGATACATATACTAAGCTGTAAAGCAATCTCCGGTCATGTGACCTCTTTGTTCTATATTGTATACACTGTATTCACGTGTCTCTGTAAATTATATTACTAGTATGAAGAAAAGTCGTTATAAAGAGGTCGTTATTCGACCTTCTGCCCAAAATCACGGCTGTATGTTGCATCTGTAAGGAAATCATTCGTGGGAGGTCAGATCAATGTAAAATTGTTCCGTGCACAGAAAAAATGTCGTTATTGGGAGGACTTGTGTCCACAAGGGACTACTCTATTATTATAGCTATAGTAACCTAGAACTTTAGTCTAAAACTTCACTTTCCATTACATAATATCATAAAAAACAAACCAGATTATCTGTAAGTTACTGTCTAGATCTATTTGTAGGCAGCTTAACAGATGAAAATTGCATACACATTAGAGAAAAGTTTAGGTTTTAAAATACTTTCATATTCTATAACTTACTTCTTGGCTGGGACAGTCTTCTGAAGGTTCCAAAGCTTAAGAGTGTGATCTTCTGAAGCAGTTACTAAGACTGGCTCTTCAGGATGGAATGCTAATGCTCGGACACCATCAAAGTGGCTGGAAAATAGATTAAGTGTAAAATGGTATGATTAAACATCTGTCAATATATATAAGAACTCACTGAAAATCCCATAATAGCCTCTCTTATAGGTGATCCATAATAAATTTACAGCTGCTGCACATATTAACTCTTTCAGCACGGGCTTGGTTCCTAGGTCTGACCTCGTAACCATTTTGTGCTTGTTATAGCTTTCATGCTATAACTTTTAAATTATTAAGCAAATGTTAACGAACTTTGGCAGATTACCGGTAAACACTATAATGTTTTCATCAGCAAAATATTAATTTTTTTATTAAGTCTCAAGGTTTATAAAGCAATGTTTTTCTTGTGTCTATTTTTTCTTTTTGCATGGTTTTTAATCTTAAAATGAATATTACTTTGCATGATAGATAGGCAATACTTTTATGCACCAGAAAATTTTGAAATTTCACATGCGAAATCTTTATAATGTCCAGAAAGTTATCAAACATTTCTTAAGAAAAACTTATATTATCTGTTATTTTCAGTAAATAATCTCTGTAAGGGTTCGGTAGATTTGACCAATCTCGCAACCACTATAAAAAATTAGGAAATAAATAAATAAATTATGCCTCTTTCATTCTAGAATGAACACAAATTATAACACAAAAACATAAAATTAAACTAAATAGATTAAATCTCATAACATTATACATTTATATATATTTATTATTTTTTATTACATTGTCCTTTCAGCTGTTCCTGGCTAGCAATATAGAAGTTACAATGACATGGCTCACATGCACTCATGTTACCGTATCAAATAACATAAAACTGATCTTTGGTCTGTGCAAAGTAACTTGTCTTGACTGTGTTTTAGTAGACTAGTATTTATTAAAATACAGTCAAATTTCAATTAGTATACACTATATATGTATATAGATTACTGCTCTTTTGAAATAAGTTCTTAAACTTATTTTTCTTAAAACATAGAACAGTAAATGAAGAAGTAAAGCAAACAATTACGTCTTATAGTTACGACCTTTGTACTCAGTTGCTGCTTGACATAGGTTGCTAAGCCTTTAAAAAATTTGCACGTGGAGAATATGAAACAAAATTTTTTGTTTAAGGTTTTATATATAGATTTGAATAACTAAAAAAAGCATAAAGTAATACACTAATACCATAGACTTCCACTATAATTTATCTAGCTTTGTAACTAAGATGTACTTTAGTCTGAAAAAATATGAAATTTGGAACAGACTAAAGACACACCCTACCTCGTTGAAATATTAGTTCAAAAGAAAGAAATGGCACCAAATCCGTTAAAATAGCTGAGAAAGCCACTACGGAGACATTCTGGACTTCCGATTGGTTATTCATGTCATATATAGAAGTAAGTGTATATTAGGGAGCGTTTCCAAAAATGGAAAGAGGTGGGCAGGTTGCCACTGTGTTTGATTTATTACATGAGCAATATCTTAGCAAACTGAAAAGATAAGAGGCTCTTATTTTATATTCTAGCTTGTCAATATCAGTAATTTGAGTTTCTAATTCGTTCGAAACTATAGACTTAGTATTTTGACTTCACAAACATCTTATTTGAATCAGTGCTGCATTCAACATATCATGTGACACACAAAAATCAATGTTTATCTGTGTTTTTAATATTTGCTTTTAAATTAAGAAATTGAGTAATATACAGTACTAAAATTTTAATTTTTAATATAAAGTTTGTAGATAGTCAGTATCAATTGACTAACCAATTACACACTCTCCTTAATACATATAAATAGTAGTTCAATAAAATTTTGAATGTGAGTCAACAAACGAGATGATATGCCCTTTCACCCATGACCTGTCTCTTGTCAGTTTTCTATGATGCAAAAATAAAAATCAATAAAAACTATTTTTTAGTTACAAAAGTCTTACCCAATTGTGCTTTCAGCCAAAGGATTAAAGGTATTGTTAACAAATCTCTGAACAATACTAGACTTTCCAACACCAGAATCCTGGAAAGAAAAAGAGCAATGTCTGGTGAATGCTAATAAATAACTTGGAATTTGTCAGTCAAATTACAGAGTACCTTTTCTTAATCTAAGAGAAAATGTGCAGGTATTCAATTTCAAAATACTCTTGGTTGACTAACCAATTACACATTCTCCTTAATACATATAAATTAGCTACAAAAGTTTATAAATAATCAAAATATCATTAATCTAGGTTGTTTTTGTTTTGAACACAAAAAAAAATATCACAAATTATTCATTTGAATGTTACATTTAAAATTATTTCCTAAATAATGCATGCAATATGTTTTAGACATTAATATTGCACATTCTTAGTTTTGTGATTCACAAAAATAAAGATTCTTTTTAAGTAACTGTAAATTTTGTCATATTGTACATCAGAAATTATCTGACTTCTTGGAATGATATATTAAACATATCTGAAGTTTTTGAAAATGTGCAGATGCTGCTTTATAAGAAATCAGCAGAACATATGTATAATTATGTAACATTCTCAGATCATTCATAAATGTTGATAAAGAAATATCAATCCTTACTTTATACCTTGCATGTCTGTACAACAATTTACTCTTTCAACTACGATTTGGCTTAAATTATCATGAATGAGCAAAATAAATTTATGCCACATAAAAATATTAGCTGTGTAGAAAATGTATGTCAGTACAATATGGCTCCATCAAGACAAAGCATCAAATTGCATGTCTAAGTCAACAAGTCAATTTCTATACTATTCACAGATTCTCCCACAAATTTCTGTGTCTTTGAGTTCCTCAAATGGACCCAGGGAAGTTGTCATTCATGCATGGTTGATAGACTTTGGAAAGCAGTTGAAGTGGAACTTTTGCAGCCACAAGCACAGAGCATTAATCCATAACCAAGATCATCATATGAACATCACTGGTGGTGGAAAATGAAGATGTACGGCCCAAGCATTTATCCTTGTATTGTTGCTATAGATAGTTAACATCTCTGTGTATGCTTTACATAAAACAGATGTTTCATCATTTATATCAACACATTATTTTCTGTGATGAATGTTGACTTCTGAATGTACTCTGTTTTTGAATTCCTGCATTATCTGACAAGTTTCTGGTTGATTAAGTTCACATATTCTAGTTCCAAAAGCAAATGAAATAGCAAGGTGAGAGTTAAATACACAGGACTTGTTTACCTGATGATGTTATTAGGCCATCAAGAAATTAATGTCAATTTTTTCAGATGATAAAACCCAAACAACTTATGTATCACAACAAAACGTTTATTAAAAGAAATAGTCTCCATTCTTATCGATGATGCTTTTCCATCTTACAATCAGGTTGTTAATGCCCTAACTAAAGAAATCACTTGGCTTTGGAACAAAAAACATTTCGATGTCCTCTTTAACAACTTCCACATTTGCATACATTTTCCCATTAAGATGGTGTTGCAGCGAACAAAAAAGATGGTAATCTCATGGTGCCATATCTGGAGAATATGGTGGGTGGGGGAGAACTTCCCAACCCAACTCCATAAACTTGAGTTGCGTCAAACATGCATGTGGAAGTGCATCGTTGTGGAGAAGAACACCTTTCCAATTGACGAGTGAAGAGCATTTCTGATTTAAACGTTTCAGTTGCTGATTATAGATCTCTGCATTGACAGTTCACTGTGGATTGAGGAGTTCGAAATGAATTACTACTTTGATGGCCAACCAAATGCAAAGCATCACTTTCTGCAAATGTAGTCCAGGGTTTGGGGTCAGAAGTGGTTTTTGTCTAGGACTGAGCCATTATTTTTGGCATTTTAATATTCGCACAGAGAATCCATCTTTTATCACCGGTGACAATTCTGTCCAAAAATGGTTCAAGCGCATTACGTGCCAGAAGACACGAAGCAA